AATTACCATTTTTGTCTAAACTGTGAAGCAGCATTATATATGCATCATGTGCATGATTTTTCCATATATGGCATTAGTGGAAATATGCTTTTAGAGAGTTTTTGGTTGATAAATACGCTTTGCTGTGTAAAAATCACACGCACCTAGTGCGTGCGTGTGTTTAGGTTAGTAAATCACTCCCCCTGTGTCATAATGTCCAAAGTATGCATAGTCTGCCTACCAGCCTTGTTGCCAACCCTTGCATCCTGATGTCGCCAATTGGCATCTTCAGGACACATTAGGTGCCCTATGATGGAATCTTCTAACAGTCAATGGGAAATGTCCACATCATATTCATGTCACCAGAGAGTGAAATGGACACTAGAAGGACCCATCTACTCTACAGATCAGAAGAAAAAAGACTTGGAATGCAGGCTGGTCACATGACCCTGATTTCAAGTAAGTCAGGGCTTCAAGCTTAGTTTTTTTTAAATAAAATCTAGTGATAAGCTAAAGGAGGGTGGGATGGATATCGGTAGTGGTCATTTTATCTCTATCCCGGAGGGCTGCTGTTAAATTTACCACTGCCTGGGTTCCGTGCTCATTCAGCGGGGTGAGGGGGATTTAAATGTTTACCTTATTCCTTGCTACCGCAGGTTCCCCCCTCTTTGTGCCTCTGGCCCCTCCAAGCCGCTTAACCTTGCTGGCCAGTTGCATCACTAAAATGCAGGACCAGCAGTCCTGCATTGTATGCAAGGACAATGAGGGCCCATCCACATCTTGAGGAACAAGAAATAATTATTCCTTTTCCCAATAGCCAAATGAGCATTTAACCCATGTATTGCTGGGAGAACCCCACTGCATGGGTAACTGTAACAGAAGCCCTGAGTGGGGCTTATAATCCATTGGATCAGCATGAAAGCCAGGCAACTAGGGTTTCCAGAAACAGAGCTTCTATAGTCTCGCTAATGTGCAAGTAACTGTAGCTTCTTGTGGCTACAAAATTACATGTGAAACAGTTTTATGGCATATAACAAATTAGTTGTTTAATATGCGAAAATCATATCAAAAACTGTTCTGGATAAATCAGAAACACAAAATGAATGCTTTCTACAAATGAACAGCAGCTCCCCTTTGGCTACAAGCAAAGGATTGGGCTAACATAATGAATTTCCATAATGCTATTGTTAGGTCCAGCACAATACCATAATCACTCTGATGATACCAAAAAAAGGATGTGCCATTATCGTTTATATATATTAAAAAAAAAAAGCAGCTGTGTGGAAATTATTCTGTCATCTGCATATTTGTCAAAAATGAAGAAATGCTGAATATATCTCTTGATTTGGAGCCCAGAGTATTAAAAAAAAAAATCACAAAAAATAATAGCACATACAGAGAATAGAGAATGATTTGCTAAATGTCTTTTGCTATGCAGCATAAGCAAAATGATTCTTGAAAAAAAAAAAAAAAAAAATCTATTTTATTAGCAGCTCCCCTTTGGCTACAAGCAAAGGATTGGGCTAACATAATGAATTTCCATAATGCTATTGTTAGGTCCAGCACAATACCATAATCACTCTGATGATACCAAAAAAAGGATGTGCCATTATCGTTTATATATATTAAAAAAAAAAAGCAGCTGTGTGGAAATTATTCTGTCATCTGCATATTTGTCAAAAATGAAGAAATGCTGAATATATCTCTTGATTTGGAGCCCAGAGTATTAAAAAAAAAAATCACAAAAAATAATAGCACATACAGAGAATAGAGAATGATTTGCTAAATGTCTTTTGCTATGCAGCATAAGCAAAATGATTCTTGAAAAAAAAAAAAAAAAAATCTATTCTTTTCAGAAATTGGATATGTGTATGTTAATTTAGTGGCACAATAAATCAGCACAGAGCATTAGAATGATTATCGTAACGTAATGTAAGACGAAACGGCTGACTCTAAAGAGCACCCCCCAACACAAAGAAATTAATATTAAATCTTTTTTTTTTCCCAGACATGACCCGGTGTCACCCTGCTGTGAATCCTTTGCCCATACGTACAGGGAACCTGGGAGACAAATGACAATCTCCCACAGTCTGCCTATTTATAAATCCAGCAACACTAGCTCTTGTATCCATATGGCAAGAATGTAATCAGAGCAGACAGCTTGCTATGCCCAGATTTCTTGCTCACGGAGCTGTTTATCAATCAAGTGGAGCAGTCAACGTTAGCCTACAATGAAGATGTCTCGTGATTTTAGGGGTTCAAACAAAATCCACAAATCTGAGTCAGAGGAATCAGGGACTGTGTATAAAGCAGAGGCCTTTTGCCCATAGTAACCAATCAGCTTTAATCTTTCACTGTCTGGGAAAATAAAACAAGGAAAATGATCACTATGGGCAACAACTCCAAGTTTTTACCCTTTTTTTAATATTTTATTTTTTTCTGAGAGTTTGCAAAGAATAGAAATCAGTATCAGCTTACACAGGCATCCAATTACAGTATAGTAGAAGACAGAGGCGTAACTAGAAATCTCAGGGCCCTGATGCAAGAAACCATGAAGGTCCCCCCCGTTGCGGAGCATTGGCCTGCTGGGAGCTGTAGTCACAGGAGGCAATCAATGTCAGTGCCTCGGCAGTTACTGGGCTGGGCCCTCCTTTTTCCTTTCCTTTCCAGGCCCCCAAAACAGCAGAACACCAGTGCCTGGTCGCACATGGGACCACTGCGACCCTGGGATATAACAATGAAGGCATGCTGGGACTTATAGTTCAACTACAACCAGCATGCCTTCATTGTCCCTGTACACCCCTCCACATCACATAGGGAACTACAAGTCCCAGCATGCCCTCATTGTCCTTGTACGCTCCCCCCCGCACACACACACATAAATCACACAGGGAACAACAAGTTCCAGCATGCGAGCCCCCTGCAGTAATTCCATGGGTGATATGTGAGAGTTGTATAGTGACAGTGAGTGCATGCTGGGACTTGTAGTTCTCTGTATGAAAAAAGGCTGTTTTAATTACTTTGCTCATGAAAACACTAGTAATACAAAGCCATTATAGAACAGTATCTTTCAAGTTCAACTATACTCTATTCTATGTTTCTATAATGGCATTGTATTACTAGTACTTTCATGAGGACAGTAATGAAAACAGCCTTCTATCATACAGGAAACTACAAGTCCCAGCTGAACTGCCGACTTGTTGTTTTCTAGTAATACAATATCATTATAGAACATTCAATAGAATATAGTTAAACTTGAAACTTTCATATTCAGCCATGTTCTAATCTATTCACTATTCTGTAATGGCAAGTAGTTACCTCAGCTGTCATAGTCCTCTTGTTCTTACGGCTGGAGGAAGCTCGAGCAGGTGGCAAAACATCCAGGCGGGTCTTACTGTATTATCAGCATGGCAGCTGCTGGGTCCTCGTGCTGCCCCATATTTTGCCTGCTTGTCACTGCCCGGCGGCCGGCCAAACCCCCTCTCACCTGTCTGTCTCTGCACTCGGGGCAGCCGCACCATCAGCCCCCCCCCACTGCCGGCGTCAGGCCCCTTCTTCCTTCCTAGTTGGTCATATGACAAAAAATATCAAAAAATTAAGCTTTTGCTATCCTAAAAGGATTGGTGTGTTGGTGACATTTCTATATTTTTGCTGACATTCGCGGTGCCATCCGCAGTCACTGCGAACACCCCCCACTACAAGGGACTTATCGGTAAGGAGCGTGACAAGGATAGTACTTATTTTTCCTTTCTGGGCCCCCCCCCCCCAAGTGGAGGAACGCCAGGGCCTGGTCGCACATGCGACCGCTGCGACCCTGGTAGTTCCGCCACTGGTATAAGAAGTAGTAACTCGCACACCTAGGTCCAATGCATCAATCTGTCCTTTTATTGACATCAGATGCACATGGCATCACAAGTACAAAGCAACGTTTCGGAACCTAGCATGCTCCCTTCATCAGGCAAGTTTTTTGCTTGATGAAGGGACCACACGAACCGCACACAGAGCCATATTTCCACGGATTTCAACTCTTAACTAGCCCAACGCACAAAAAAATGTACTTGCACTTGTTTTGGGCATTGCAGCACATGACAAAGTACATTTATATCTGTGTGTTGTGGCGTGCTGAAGAGCAAATTAGTTTGTTTACACCAGGAGTAGACAAACTCCCGCTGTGTGGATGTCAGGGGGAGGGTGAAGATGCTGGACCAGCACAGACAGTAGTTAGACACGCCTAGAAGAGAAGAGGGCTATGATGTGCAAGGTGGGATGGGACTGTGCAAGGGAGCTGACTCTTCCATGAGTAATCAAATTATTTAGAACATTCAAAGGCGCATTTCAAGTAAATACCGAAAGGAAAAAAGCTGCAAGTAAGCATTTAAAATACTTGATTTTATGTTACGTTAAATAAACATAAATTCTTACGGGAAGATTATTGTTGAAATGAATGGTCTGGCAACAGGGTCACTTTAACTGCCAACTTTCTTTTAACTTTAACTCTCTTCAACATTCTTATTGATAGCTGTACAATGGTCTACTGCCTTTTTTCTATAATGCAAAGTTCAACCCATTGTTGTAGGTTGTGAGCCATTTGTATGAGACTTCATATAGTGCTCTTCAATAAGATTATGGGCAGGAAATCAGCTGAGTGAATGAAAATGTCAGAGCCAGAATTTCATATCCATGGCTCAGATGGATATGTACATAAATGCTATTAATTTCTCCTTATCAAGTTGTGATTTGAAGATGGCTGACCTTTTACCTAAATAACTCATATTTTGTGAAAAACAATGCAGTTCCTTTGGTGATACAATACATGCTTATCATTGTGCCGTCTTTAACGCTGCAATTTACCCCCCTGCTGTTTCCATAATTGGTTAGGGATCCAACAATATGAGAAATTATTTAACTGACCTGACAACTGGGATTCTAGTTCTCACTATCAGAAGACTATTACACAAAATGAAAAGAAAAGTTTTAAAGTAAATGTAAGTGAAATATCTGGCAGATGTAAAATTCCATACCATTTACCATTCCAAGACAGAAGACGGCATTTACTAGTGAGCATCCTTTCCTGAAATGATCAGTCATGTGCTCCAACCAGTTGGCTTCCAGACCATTGATCGTACTCTTATCCTTGGAGATCTTCATTGGGATGTTCACAGTATAATATTTTTTGTACCTCTGTTGGCTTTTTGGCTTATTAAATAGAGCCAAAATCTCAATTTCTGGAAAACAAAAATGTATTACAATATGTGTCATTTAATTATATAATTAACACTTTACAGACTATATCTATAAACCTTTTTGGCAGTAGCCACTCTGCCCTGTGAAGAGCTTGCTGGGAATTGCTTGGTGAACGGAGTAAAAAGTGACCTGTTGCAGAATTGTAAGAGAGGAGGTGAAGAACACACAGAGAACTGTTTGGAGGGAAAGAGGTAAGTCGAGTACAAAGGGATTTGTTGTGGAGGAGTATGGAGAGGGGAGTGAGGAATAGAAAGGAACCTGTTGTGGAGGGTTGTGGGTGAAAAGCATGGAGGGACTTGTAAGGTGAAGAGCACAGTGGGACTTGTTTGGTCCTGAAGGAAGAGAAAATTAAGAGCATCATGGGACCTGTTTTGGAGAAGCGAGAAGGGGGAGTTAAGACAATTGTAGGATCTGTTTTGGAGCAGGGGGAAGGGGGAATAGGGCGCATTGAAGGACCTGTTTTGGAGAGGATGGGGAAACTAGGAGCAGAGGAAAGGGTTAATTAATAGCATAGAAGAACCTGCAGGGAAAATGAAGAACATAGTGGAACCTTTTGCATAGGTGGTTGTAGCCAGAAGGATGGCTGCAAAAAATCTGAGGATGGAAGAACAGCTGTCAGCATAGCTCACCTCACTGTCACTTGAAAACATGTATCTGCTAGGTGAATGCCACCACATGCATGAGATTCTAGGCAGGCAAATGTGTATATCCTAATCTATCTCCAACCTGACCATTGCGGTCAAACATGGCAAATTGGATAGATTGAAGCTAAATCCGCCAGCAATAGCTCAGTGTATACACCTCCAACAACATGCTTTCCTGTTTATTATATTTTCAGTAATCAAACGTGTAATCATAATGTGTCAATAACCAGCCTGTGTATCCAGCCAGATATGAAAACTTCTATAGCTTTCCACATGATCCAGAACTCAAGCTCAGGCAAAGAATTCTTAAAACTGAACTCCAGCCTTACCTACAGTTTTGCACCTTTGTGCTGACTCCTCTACTGTACTGCAAGTGCTTACTCACTTTCACTGCACACTGTGAGCTTCTCAAAGTGTGTACAGTAGTACCTTGGTTTACGAGCTTAATTCGTTCCGGAAGCATGCTTGTATTTCAAAGCGATTGTATATCAAAGCGAGTTTCCCCATAGGGAATAATGGAAATTCAGATGATTCGTTCCACAACCCAAAAATATTCATATAAAAATGATTACAATACTGTACTGTAATATAATACTGTACAAAATATAAAGAAAAATAAACCAATTACCGGTACCTTCGTGGCCGGTGTGAGAGGGACAAGAGAGAGGAGGATTATTGTGTAGGACAACTTTCACTATCACTAACGGAATCACTGCTATCTCTAGACTCAATGGAATCTTTTTCATTTCGTGAAACTTTAACAAGGAATCTATCCAATGTGACATTGCATTGTTGTTAAAGAGACTCATCGCTGACTCCATTTGAAAGACATGTACTCACATTACGTTCAAACACTGGGATGGGCTAGATTCCTGCTGAGTATACCCAGGATATGTATATATATATATACACAAGAGGGAAACACGAAATGACTTAACCCACGGGACATACATACTGGATTTTAGGACCCGGATGGGATCGTAAATAAGCATACTTAATACTCATCTCAATGGTCCATAACAAGGTTGCCTGAATGGTCCCTTCAAAGGAGAATGCTGTTGAGTGGATGGGCTTCATTTAAACTGTTTACCCCTCTTTGTACATTTTTTGTGAATTATCTGTTAATGTCCACCCAACACAACTGACTGTACACTGTAAACTTTACGCTGTTTGTACGAAACTTTAATAAAACAAAAATGTTATTCAAAAAAAAAAAATGTAACCAATCAGCTTTAATCTTTCACTGTCTGGGAAAATAAAACAAGGAAAATGATCACTATGGGCAACAACTCCAAGTTTTTACCCTTTTTTTAATATTTTATTTTTTTCTGAGAGTTTGCAAAGAATAGAAATCAGTATCAGCTTACACAGGCATCCAATTACAGTATAGTAGAAGACAGAGGCGTAACTAGAAATCTCAGGGCCCTGATGCAAGAAACCATGAAGGTCCCCCCCGTTGCGGAGCATTGGCCTGCTGGGAGCTGTAGTCACAGGAGGCAATCAATGTCAGTGCCTCGGCAGTTACTGGGCTGGGCCCTCCTTTTTCCTTTCCTTTCCAGGCCCCCAAAACAGCAGAACACCAGTGCCTGGTCGCACATGGGACCACTGCGACCCTGGGATATAACAATGAAGGCATGCTGGGACTTATAGTTCAACTACAACCAGCATGCCTTCATTGTCCCTGTACACCCCTCCACATCACATAGGGAACTACAAGTCCCAGCATGCCCTCATTGTCCTTGTACGCTCCCCCCCGCACACACACACATAAATCACACAGGGAACAACAAGTTCCAGCATGCGAGCCCCCTGCAGTAATTCCATGGGTGATATGTGAGAGTTGTATAGTGACAGTGAGTGCATGCTGGGACTTGTAGTTCTCTGTATGAAAAAAGGCTGTTTTAATTACTTTGCTCATGAAAACACTAGTAATACAAAGCCATTATAGAACAGTATCTTTCAAGTTCAACTATACTCTATTCTATGTTTCTATAATGGCATTGTATTACTAGTACTTTCATGAGGACAGTAATGAAAACAGCCTTCTATCATACAGGAAACTACAAGTCCCAGCTGAACTGCCGACTTGTTGTTTTCTAGTAATACAATATCATTATAGAACATTCAATAGAATATAGTTAAACTTGAAACTTTCATATTCAGCCATGTTCTAATCTATTCACTATTCTGTAATGGCAAGTAGTTACCTCAGCTGTCATAGTCCTCTTGTTCTTACGGCTGGAGGAAGCTCGAGCAGGTGGCAAAACATCCAGGCGGGTCTTACTGTATTATCAGCATGGCAGCTGCTGGGTCCTCGTGCTGCCCCATATTTTGCCTGCTTGTCACTGCCCGGCGGCCGGCCCAACCCCCTCTCACCTGTCTGTCTCTGCACTCGGGGCAGCCGCACCATCAGCCCCCCCCCACTGCCGGCGTCAGGCCCCTTCTTCCTTCCTAGTTGGTCATATGACAAAAAATATCAAAAAATTAAGCTTTTGCTATCCTAAAAGGATTGGTGTGTTGGTGACATTTCTATATTTTTGCTGACATTCGCGGTGCCATCCGCAGTCACTGCGAACACCCCCCACTACAAGGGACTTATCGGTAAGGAGCGTGACAAGGATAGTACTTATTTTTCCTTTCTGGGCCCCCCCCCCCCTTTTTTTTTGTGGAGGAACGCCAGGGCCTGGTCGCACATGCGACCGCTGCGACCCTGGTAGTTCCGCCACTGGTATAAGAAGTAGTAACTCGCACACCTAGGTCCAATGCATCAATCTGTCCTTTTATTGACATCAGATGCACATGGCATCACAAGTACAAAGCAACGTTTCGGAACCTAGCATGCTCCCTTCATCAGGCAAGTTTTTTGCTTGATGAAGGGACCACACGAACCGCACACAGAGCCATATTTCCACGGATTTCAACTCTTAACTAGCCCAACGCACAAAAAAATGTACTTGCACTTGTTTTGGGCATTGCAGCACATGACAAAGTACATTTATATCTGTGTGTTGTGGCGTGCTGAAGAGCAAATTAGTTTGTTTACACCAGGAGTAGACAAACTCCCGCTGTGTGGATGTCAGGGGGAGGGTGAAGATGCTGGACCAGCACAGACAGTAGTTAGACACGCCTAGAAGAGAAGAGGGCTATGATGTGCAAGGTGGGATGGGACTGTGCAAGGGAGCTGACTCTTCCATGAGTAATCAAATTATTTAGAACATTCAAAGGCGCATTTCAAGTAAATACCGAAAGGAAAAAAGCTGCAAGTAAGCATTTAAAATACTTGATTTTATGTTACGTTAAATAAACATAAATTCTTACGGGAAGATTATTGTTGAAATGAATGGTCTGGCAACAGGGTCACTTTAACTGCCAACTTTCTTTTAACTTTAACTCTCTTCAACATTCTTATTGATAGCTGTACAATGGTCTACTGCCTTTTTTCTATAATGCAAAGTTCAACCCATTGTTGTAGGTTGTGAGCCATTTGTATGAGACTTCATATAGTGCTCTTCAATAAGATTATGGGCAGGAAATCAGCTGAGTGAATGAAAATGTCAGAGCCAGAATTTCATATCCATGGCTCAGATGGATATGTACATAAATGCTATTAATTTCTCCTTATCAAGTTGTGATTTGAAGATGGCTGACCTTTTACCTAAATAACTCATATTTTGTGAAAAACAATGCAGTTCCTTTGGTGATACAATACATGCTTATCATTGTGCCGTCTTTAACGCTGCAATTTACCCCCCTGCTGTTTCCATAATTGGTTAGGGATCCAACAATATGAGAAATTATTTAACTGACCTGACAACTGGGATTCTAGTTCTCACTATCAGAAGACTATTACACAAAATGAAAAGAAAAGTTTTAAAGTAAATGTAAGTGAAATATCTGGCAGATGTAAAATTCCATACCATTTACCATTCCAAGACAGAAGACGGCATTTACTAGTGAGCATCCTTTCCTGAAATGATCAGTCATGTGCTCCAACCAGTTGGCTTCCAGACCATTGATCGTACTCTTATCCTTGGAGATCTTCATTGGGATGTTCACAGTATAATATTTTTTGTACCTCTGTTGGCTTTTTGGCTTATTAAATAGAGCCAAAATCTCAATTTCTGGAAAACAAAAATGTATTACAATATGTGTCATTTAATTATATAATTAACACTTTACAGACTATATCTATAAACCTTTTTGGCAGTAGCCACTCTGCCCTGTGAAGAGCTTGCTGGGAATTGCTTGGTGAACGGAGTAAAAAGTGACCTGTTGCAGAATTGTAAGAGAGGAGGTGAAGAACACACAGAGAACTGTTTGGAGGGAAAGAGGTAAGTCGAGTACAAAGGGATTTGTTGTGGAGGAGTATGGAGAGGGGAGTGAGGAATAGAAAGGAACCTGTTGTGGAGGGTTGTGGGTGAAAAGCATGGAGGGACTTGTAAGGTGAAGAGCACAGTGGGACTTGTTTGGTCCTGAAGGAAGAGAAAATTAAGAGCATCATGGGACCTGTTTTGGAGAAGCGAGAAGGGGGAGTTAAGACAATTGTAGGATCTGTTTTGGAGCAGGGGGAAGGGGGAATAGGGCGCATTGAAGGACCTGTTTTGGAGAGGATGGGGAAACTAGGAGCAGAGGAAAGGGTTAATTAATAGCATAGAAGAACCTGCAGGGAAAATGAAGAACATAGTGGAACCTTTTGCATAGGTGGTTGTAGCCAGAAGGATGGCTGCAAAAAATCTGAGGATGGAAGAACAGCTGTCAGCATAGCTCACCTCACTGTCACTTGAAAACATGTATCTGCTAGGTGAATGCCACCACATGCATGAGATTCTAGGCAGGCAAATGTGTATATCCTAATCTATCTCCAACCTGACCATTGCGGTCAAACATGGCAAATTGGATAGATTGAAGCTAAATCCGCCAGCAATAGCTCAGTGTATACACCTCCAACAACATGCTTTCCTGTTTATTATATTTTCAGTAATCAAACGTGTAATCATAATGTGTCAATAACCAGCCTGTGTATCCAGCCAGATATGAAAACTTCTATAGCTTTCCACATGATCCAGAACTCAAGCTCAGGCAAAGAATTCTTAAAACTGAACTCCAGCCTTACCTACAGTTTTGCACCTTTGTGCTGACTCCTCTACTGTACTGCAAGTGCTTACTCACTTTCACTGCACACTGTGAGCTTCTCAAAGTGTGTACAGTAGTACCTTGGTTTACGAGCTTAATTCGTTCCGGAAGCATGCTTGTATTTCAAAGCGATTGTATATCAAAGCGAGTTTCCCCATAGGGAATAATGGAAATTCAGATGATTCGTTCCACAACCCAAAAATATTCATATAAAAATGATTACAATACTGTACTGTAATATAATACTGTACAAAATATAAAGAAAAATAAACCAATTACCGGTACCTTCGTGGCCGGTGTGAGAGGGACAAGAGAGAGGAGGATTATTGTGTAGGACAACTTTCACTATCACTAACGGAATCACTGCTATCTCTAGACTCAATGGAATCTTTTTCATTTCGTGAAACTTTAACAAGGAATCTATCCAATGTGACATTGCATTGTTGTTAAAGAGACTCATCGCTGACTCCATTTGAAAGACATGTACTCACATTACGTTCAAACACTGGGATGGGCTAGATTCCTGCTGAGTATACCCAGGATATGTATATATATATATACACAAGAGGGAAACACGAAATGACTTAACCCACGGGACATACATACTGGATTTTAGGACCCGGATGGGATCGTAAATAAGCATACTTAATACTCATCTCAATGGTCCATAACAAGGTTGCCTGAATGGTCCCTTCAAAGGAGAATGCTGTTGAGTGGATGGGCTTCATTTAAACTGTTTACCCCTCTTTGTACATTTTTTGTGAATTATCTGTTAATGTCCACCCAACACAACTGACTGTACACTGTAAACTTTACGCTGTTTGTACGAAACTTTAATAAAACAAAAATGTTATTCAAAAAAAAAAAAGAGACTCATCGCTAGCACTGCTACAGCCTTATTCTGTGGAGCTTTTCTACAAAATTTTGCTCTTATTGCAAGACATTGCTTGTGTATCAAGGCAAACTTTTTCAGAAATGTTTGCTTGTCTTGCAAAACACTCTCAAACCAAGTTACTTGTAAACCAAGGTATTACTGTATTAGAATCCACAGGAAGTCAAATAGAGCCCATCACATTGGCCAGCTGGAGGATGTCCAGCATTATCTAGAACTTTCCTCCCCAACCCACCCCTTTCATTCACTAGATTTCAGTTATTTCAGTCATGGAGGGTCAGCATCACAAGTGGGCAGGACAGACTGACACACACCCATCAAGGCATAACTCTTCTCAAAAGCCAGCCCACTGCTTGCATCAGGACTGAGGACTCTTGACAGGAGTGTTTTCAGAAAGCCATGTACAGCACCCTGCTGGCCCCTTCAACCAGCCATGATCTGTTTGCATTGCCTAAAGACCCCGCAATGATGTCACTGGGTCTAAAAAAGGTATATAATGAAAACGGAATTCGTTTTATTTCAATTTACTAGGATATTGATGAGCGGAGAAAGGAGGAACTAGTGGAGACAAAATATAAGCAGGTCAAACATCAGCTCAGGCTGCTTGCTAGTAAAATCAGATTGAAAAATGTAATGCAAGAATTTTCCAGGTGAGGTCTCAGTAGATTAGAATAAAATGAACAGTGTAGGGCTTCCTACTCCCAAAGTAGATTACTTACAAAACAAACTGAAACATATTATGTCTATTTCCTAATGACTTCTGTACTTACTTCTAATGCTGCAATTATCAGATGGCGTAGTTTCAGTCGTTATCTTGTCATGAACAAATACATCCTCGTTTGAAACCTGGAAATTGAGCTCTTCCAATTGATCTCCTTTATTCAGAGCTGTAGACTCCACGTTTTGCTGCTCAATAACATCCAGCCCATCGACTGCTTTGGGCTGTTCATCATTTTCCGTGTTCTTTGCTGGTGAAGTGCTTCCATTAGTGCAATCTGATTTCTTATCTGCTGAAGTATTATCTTCTGTATCGCTGCTTACTTTATTGATGGCCGTGAATTCGGGAGCGCTTGTCTGACTCAAGCTATCAGACGGGCTGTAGGGCAGTTCCTTTGCAAAGTAGTATCCTTGTATTATACCGGCAAACTTTGATCCCTGACTGGCTGCATCCTCGATCTGCAAAACAAAGGCATAGATTTAATATAGAACAATTAAATAGTATCATTTAAATAACTGATCTCTCTCTCTCTTTACCTGTGTACCTGATAAAGGACAGGGACGCCCAAAAACTGTTGTACATTGTGCATGCTTTGTACCGGCAATATACACACAGTATATACACTGCCTGTACAAAAAAAAAATAATCACACACTCTTATAAAATCTAATAAAATTAATTACGGCAAGTATTCACCATGGCATTGTTTCCATCAGTTAATGCAATGTCACAACATTCCTTTTTGTCCAGAGTTGCATTATTTTTACCCAAGATCTTGTAGTGATGATGGGAGAGTTGTTGCACTGCGTAAAGTCTTCTCTGGCATATTCCAAAGATTCTCAATGGTGTTAGGGTCTGGACTCTATGGTGGCCAATCCATGTGTGAAAATGATCTCTCATGCTCCATGAACCACTCTTTCACAATTTGAGCCCGATGAATCCTGGCATTGTCATCTTGGAATATGCCCAATGTGCCATCAGGGAAGAAAAAAATTAATTAATGGGAAAACCTGGTCATTCAGGAAGGCAGCAGACCTCATATTTTGGGGACATAATGTTGTATAGTAATAGGTCTAAACCTAGACCTATTATCCAATTGAAGGCTCTGACCTATTTGCTTAGCTAAATCCAAGTGGTGACTTTTTTCTGGCACAAGCAGTATATATATATAGATATCATTGGTTTACTTTTTTTAAATAGAATGGTAGCAAGAAGATGCTGATGAGAGGACAAAGATGGCTCTATGCAATTGACAATGAAAGCAAATGACCATATTTCTGAAACTCTTTCTCTTTGTGCAATATTAAAAATAAAATGATCACATGTACTTTATGCTGACTTTAAACAATTTTTTATGATTTCCTTTGAGTACTGCCTTATGCATTATCTCCAATAGTGTAAATAATCTGTTCACGTGTACTTGACTTCTTTTGCGTGAAGAGTATAAAGAAGATGTTTTGGTTATAAATGTACTTTCAGTGTTTGACAAATGCATTTGATCCAACCATCCACATAAACTACATCCATATATGATTTCAAAGGGTATGTAAACCCTCACAATTAACTTTTCTTATTTGGTCCACTTTAGTCTGTTAAAAATACGATTGAAATCCTTTTGTTACATCTGTTTGATTAGTGTAAAAACTCCCGTTGATCATACCAGAAATCTTGAGAGCTGATGACTTCCTTTGCACTGCTATGCTGCAGTGAAATTTCAAGAACTCCTATAAGCCCTGCCCTGTTAAACTACACCCCACACATTATGGAGATGAGGTGAGTGCAGGTGTTTTGTTCTCCTGTTCTAGGACAACAACACTGCTCGTTCATGGATAATCATTGTCATCAACAGACAGGAAGTGTGTTATTGGCAGGATCCCCAGGTGAGTTAGTGTCTGATACAGGGAGCACTAAATGTTTCTAGAATTTAGGGGATTAATACCTTGATAGATGTTACAAGCTCTATGAGTAGAGATTATTTATATGTAGCTAGCCTCATCCTATAGAATTGTTGGCAATGAAAATAAAGAGTGCCAATAATATTTGTTTTATATTGGGGTACCCCTAGGAACTCCAAAGTAGGTTGCCTTCATTTCAGCAACATCTTCAACATATAGGCTGAGAAAGAGATGTTCATTTGGTTCATTGTTGTCTAAATACACTGATGGACCCACTTTGGCTTTTTGTTAAACTTCAGCGCACATACAGTTAGATAGTTTACTCCCTTTTTTAAAGGACACAATGAAAAACTGTTCAATGAGATCAGTATTTGCAGTGTAAGAGATAACAACATGCATTTCAAAGATGGGGATTTGCAGACTATTATGGATGTGGTAGAGGATGCAGATTAGTACCATAATGTTACTACTACCCCATAAAGAGTTCTTCCAATTTCTTGGAAAATCTCCCTAAGAGCAGGCCTAACGATTTTCACTGTCTGGAGACACCAGATATGTGGATGTAATCCCAAGGTATGGAGGGATGGCCAGAGAGGAGCTATGCAGGGCAGCAATGGATCAAAGTATTGCACCGGCACCACTATCACCATCTGGCAAGCTCCAGTTACCTCACTCACCTGAGGGACAAACACATATATTGCTGCCTGTTGTTGGTGTGGAGATAGCTGTTTTTTCATGGCCAGTTCAATCCTGAAGCTAATAATAGTGTGTTATTCCTAACAAGATATCTTGTGCATTGCTCCCATCAGCTGCACCACTTACAAAAATAGAAGTATGCAATAACTCTTTTAATTACTCCTTTATATTCCAGCCTCTTACAATGGTAAATCTACAACAATTGGTTCAGAGTACTCCAGCATTCAACTTCAATTACACTGTTTTTCACTGGTGTTCAGGTGGTTAGCACCACAGAGAAGACGTGGAATAACTCACACATTAAATGCCAAGTTATTATTTTTTTAACTATTACTCTACAGAGACAATCTTCACTGTAACTAATCTTAAAATGTCACAATAATTACTTACAACCACCTTATCACCTCAATCTCAGGCATGTGCACTTTATACAGCGTATGAAATGTCAGAGGGATTCCCTAGAAAAGACCAAACTGAAAACAGATGTGTGTATGATAGCCATGGGTTTTTAATTCATTATGGAAAAACATTCACTGACATTCGATGCAAATCAGGTGTATAAATAGACTGGAGAGGTATGTAATTAATTTCAGTGACTTGTAAGAAAGAACCTCTACTGCTAGAATCACAACTGAAGAATTTCAGTAGCATTTCATCTTAGACTTCATCACTGGTGCTGACCCATGGCTTCACATGAGAGGACCACTCACAATCTCATTGTTTTTAACAGAACGGTGCTAAGTGGCGCTCATTGGGTTTCAGGATCTTCGGGCACTTCATTAGCATGGTTTCACTTTAAAAATAGTGCTTACTTGTCCATTGGGTGGTGAGTCCTTTCTTTGCAGAGACAAAGTAGGAACTAGGGATGCACCGATACCGGTTTTTCGGTATCGAGTACGAGTACCGATACTTATATTTCGGTACTCGTCGATACCGAGTACCGATACCGGCACTTCCGGTAGCATAGAGCCGTCTTCCCGGGCAATCAGGAAGCCAGGAAGGCTTCTTGATTGCCCGGGAAGCTGACTCCTTTCTGTTTGGCCGGCTGGATGCTGATTGGCCGGGAAGCCGGCTTCCCAGCCAATCGGCATTGAGGCCGGCCAAACAGATCTGACAATATGGTGACACGACCCAGGACCCAATTCCCCTCACATAGATCCGTATCACATTCATTAACGTACCAGTCCCTCAGCTAGCGCTCTCCAAGTGGGCAGACACCGCTCTCCCGAATCTGCCCACTTCTCCTGTGTACAGCGCCCACTTGATCGGCCCTCAGCCTGCTACTGTGCATGCGCAGACTGCCCAGTGCTCTCATTCAGAAATCCTGTGCATGCGCAGTAGAAGGCTGAACACTGATCACGTGAGCATTGTGCAGACAGGAGACGGCAGATCTGGCCGAGGAACTGAATGCTAAGGATCTATGTGAGGGGAATTAGGTACCTGCAGGGTGGGGGTCGTGTCGCTATATTATGAGATATGTTTGCCCGACTCGACACTGATTGGCTGGGAAGCCGGCTTCCCAGCCAATCAGCATCAAGCCAGCCAAACATCATGGAGCCAGCTTTCCGGCTCCATCTTTCCTAGCGGCACTGCCAGCCAGAGGAAATCTTCCTCTCACCAGAAGGTCTAGTATCGGGAAAGGTATCGCAGCATTTGGGCGAGTACGAGTACTCGGCCAAATACTCGGTATCGGCACCCTAGTAGGAACGGCTCACCCATGCTGTATTTAATCACCTCTGAACTCGTGCTCAGACTGTGGTCCTCTGCTGTGTTATAAAGTAGTAGATGTTGATCGCCATTTTTGGCAGAGCTATGTTGCTATGTTTCACTCAATGACTGCTCCATCACTACTGTCCCTTGGGGTCCAACAGCAGTAACCATGGTGTGCAGTGAGGGCATGCTATTCAACACACCAAGAAAAAAACATTGACTTCTATCAGAGACTGTATGTAGCACCTTTGGCTCCCTGGTAGGTGAAATACACTGGAATTTACGTTGTGCAGTTGCAGGCAAATACGTGCATGGGCCCTTAGTGCTATCTGTGTCTCTGTTGGGGAAATTTCCCCTCATTCCAGTGAAACCCTGTGACACCTTGACACACATATTGCCACAGGACAGGAAGATAGATAAAATATTACCAACAGGAATGCAGAAACCAATGAAAAAAATAGTTTTCATTTCAAACCTAACTGCCTGGCTTGGGCAACATGGACGCTGTTACCTTTTTTTATTCACCACTCTATAATTCCCTAGTGTACGTATGAGCACAAGGACAAATACCTACTTTTCATAGGTAAGAGAGGTCTGAGAAAGAAATCCCAGCACCCAATGCCATAAACAGCTTGTAGAAATCTGGTAATTGTTGTCACTAAATAATTATGACAACCACAGAGCTAACCTAAAAAAAATGTAAAAGTTGCTGAGCTCGGTGTAATGTAAAGCCACAAATCTTCCGCTTTTGATAGTGTATAAAAAGTGTGTACAACAACCCTGTCAAATAATTTGTATCTTCAAAGTCTGTTATCTACACATATATCTCTAAATGATTTAGAGCCATAGTTACAACACTCCAAATGTTAGGAAAAGAGACTGCTACCCTCTAAAGGAGACATTCTGACATTCTTGTGCTTCTAAAAGCTTTATGCAATAAGTTGTTAAACAGACACTAGACATAACAGCATTCTCTTATTGGCTAGATTTTTCTTCACTTGAATATTATTTAGATGAAAAAAAGAATCACTTGATAGCATTTCATACTCACAGAGCTGCAACAGAGACAATGAGCCTGATCATTTCAATTCAAGGGCTTATTAGAGTCTAAATGTCGGAATCACAGAGAAATGCATATCTTGAGAACATTATATTTAA